ACATGGGATGAAGAAATGACATAGGAAGAAAAAGGGGAATGGACAAAAAATGCTACACTAAGAGCAGAGGTACTTTGGAAAGTGTGTGAGAAAAAGTCCATTGATACAGCCACATCATGTTGACTTGGCTCTGCATCACCACTGACACAGCAGCCTTCTCTGCCGTTACCGTAGAAACGCAGGCATGTGCACTGATCAAAACAAAAAAACAAAAACCATATTTTGCGGCAGCGGGATGCTCCCAGAGTCTCCCTCAGACAGACCATGAGGTAACCGAGCATGTGATGGAATCTAGAGCTGTGTCATCTAGGTGTGGGGATGTCGGGAAATGTGCAGGATATTTTAAGACACACACACACACACACATAAACATGCAGAAACGTGTGCAGACATGGATTTAAGGAGGCACACAGGGAAGGACAAACATACATGAAATAAGGTTTAGTTAATCTTTCTTTTTTTTCTCTTTTTACTTAAAAAAAGCTGTTTTTTAGGATAATACCGCAAAGTGTTCTATATTCTAACACTAAACAATGAGTGAGAAATCAAGAGCAAAAATAGAAGCCCATGTGCAAGGAGAATGTTGTTTTAACAACACTAAAGGCCACTGTACGTTTTAAACACAGTGTTTTTTAGATCGTCTAATGGTGCCTGAACCTGAAGGCTCATCATGTAATGTTATAGCATTGCATTACTGGCAAATAACGCTTTAAAATCCACACGTTTTACATACTACGCTGACTATACTCACTATACGCATTGTAAAAATCTATAAGTTTATAGTTTATTGTATGCCCACCTAAAAAAAAGGGCATATATATTCAGAAAATGTGTGTGAGGAAGTATGAAAAATATTTAGGGATATTTTGGAGCTTTAGTTGCTTTAAATCTAAAATTATTTCACTTATTTATGTATGTATTTATCTAAGTGTGTAACATATTTAACTATAAATTAACCAAAAGTATTTCACTTTATTTCTGGTTAGCTAAAAACAGTACAGTATGTTAAAAAACAACTGAGTCATTGGAGTAATTTTTAATGACTAAGTAATGTAAACTACATCTCACTGTCGTATTAACAAATATGTATGTCATGTCATTAAAATGTAAAAGTTGATAAAAGGTCAATTATTGGACCAAGATATGGGCCAAGCTTATATACTGTTTTAACTCTCGGCTCATACCTTTAACATGTGTCTGTATGCCCTCAAAAAGGGACACCCAATCTCCACATGGTACTTAAAAGAGTGCTCCCCATTCACCCCAGCATACAAGAAGCTTTCAATTGTGTTCCATAAGCGAAAAAAAAATCTCATTGGAAAAAAGAGAGAGAAACAGAGAGAATGAGAGAAAATAGGAGCGGGGAGTAAAAGATCTGTGAGATTTTACAGAGGGCCCAAACCACAAGAAAGTCAGGGCTGAATGCATGCTGGACATTCCCGGGGCCGGCGCTCATGTACTTGGAAAAAGCCCGCTTTTTCAAGACAGGAAAATGATTTCAGCTGTGTAAATTGACAGCGGCCTTGTAGCTGAAGATGGAGAGGGAGGAAAGGGGGGAAGCCTGCAGCTCTGTGTCATAATTCCTGCTTGAAGAAGCCGCTGGGGGCCGACTCTTTCACGGAAACGAAATTTGACATCACATGATCAAATGAAATAGTGTTAATTGTTACCAAATGAACCTGGTGGTGGTGGATATTAACTTAGCTCCACAGCTTTACAGTCAAACAGGTTTATTTTACCTTCTTTGAAGAAATCTATCTACTCTAAATGATAAATACACACTGTACCCTAAAACGTGGAGGCTGAAAGGGAAGCTGAAGAGCTTTGAAGTGTGTCAGGAACAGTGTTAGCCGAACAGTATCAAGATATGCTCCGTCAGGATGTTTACACATGCTCGCTATTTTAGCCTTCACTCTTGTCTTCTCTCCCAGGGTGGCATTACAGTAAATCATGGTTAAAGACATTGTGAGGCAATCATTTCATGTATAGTAGACAATAACAGCAGGGCTGCTTGGATCAGTCATTCAATTATGACAACAGATGTAATTAGTGGTAGGCTTTAAACAGAATTGCAGCAAATGGCTACCGGCACTCAGACATATTTCTTCCTATGGCCACAGTTGGTTATAGATTGTAAACACACATTGGTTTGCACAATTACAGACTCTCACTATGACTTTCTCTATACGACTTGGGGGAGCCTACGTGCAGTAGAATTCAAGCACAGATAAAGCAGATAACAGCACTTGGTAATGGTATGTCAACAAGGCCCTGATCTCAGTGTTATCAATCATGTGACTCAGGAGTGTGATCATCCTAAATTGGAGGGCAGATGTGAACAGGGAAGGTGGTGAGGATAATGCATGGTTAGGAATGGAAGAATGAACACAGAGAGCGGTTTGTCATAATTCCTGGGTTTCACTGCAGAGAGGGAAGTGGTGACTCTTGGCTTCTGTGTGTAGAGGTTACGGGGCTGAGTGAATGTGTGTGTGTTTGTACACATGGCCATGCCTGCTGCTTGTGTTTGTGAGTATGTATATGTGTATTCTTGTGTGCATATGTCAAGTGTGTGGTTGTTCACATTGCACACTTGGGTGTGAATGCATGACTGTGTGTCGCCAAGTTATTGTGTTTGTGAGTGCATGTGTGCTTGACTGTGTTGTCATTGTATACCTATGTGCGCGGGAGGACTACATGGTAGCGTGTGTGTTCAGGCCAGGGTGGAGCGTCGTGCGAGGCAATCTCTGTCTACGAGCAGATGTGGGCACCCAGCCACAGAGCCACCAGTCCTCTAACTACCAGAAGAAGAACATTACTGGCCAATATGGGGTGAAATTGCATGGCTGGTCTAACTGGTTTTTAGGGTGAAAGTCTGAGAAAAACTCCAGATTATTTTCCAAGCCCACAAGATCATCATTTATCATCTGACATGATAACAACATGGCCAACATGTCAACAAAATAAATCTAGGCACAGTTTCCATGGAAACAGAGTAGTTACATCCCATTAGCTGTACTAACTTGGACCAAAACAAAGATCATTTTTAGCATGGTACACTGTGTGAAACTAGTGAGGATTAAAAAAAAAAGTCCCTGCAAAACAGTAGCTATGGTTACTGATCAATACCATCTTTGCTCTAATACATCAAACGAGTAAATGAGAGACTGTGAGGGAGATAGCTTGGCTACTCTGGAAGAAATTTGGACAGTGTTGGACAGAGTGTGGGATTCCCCTCCATCTTGCCTTGATGGTTACAGTCAGATATGCCCATGGGCCTAGACCCCCTCTGCCTCCCTGCTCCATGCAATCTCCCAGCATATGACACTTCTACCAACTGAAGGCAGCAATGAAGCCTAAAGTGGCCTCTCCTCTCCTTATGTTGTCCACCTTCTTTTTTCTCTCTTTCTCCACTTCACGTCTTGTGTCAGCTCACATCTCACTTGCAGCTGCACAAAGCATTTGGCACCACTTTTATCTCCCTCATTACATGTGTTTGCCAGCTCCATATCTGCCCATTCACACAACTGCTCTCTCTCTCTCTCTC